CTTTTTAGGAACACATAATCTTCCTTTGGAATGAATCAAAGCCAGATTTTCACAACAAGTTGATCAACTGCTACCGTGAAAGAGTGCAGGTGTTGATGAGAGAGTATTTAGATTCGTTACCGACAGGTTCGTATCTGCTTTGAAGGCAGTTATTCTTTTTTCGTCGGTTGGCGAAAGAAAAGGGAAAGTCTGTAAAGTTTATGCCCAACAAGGAGCCGAAGCCGATCACGGTTGCTCTACCATGAATCGACTAGGAGTATTGCCTCTACCCTCCGGGTGGGATTCAGGTTTATGTTACCCCCCTCCCCCTCCCTCTTAGCACATCATCAGGTTCATCGAGTTCGCCGGTAGCCATTTACCCTCCAGGCTGGTTAGAGGTGTTTCCTAGGTAAATTGTCTCGCACAAGAACACAGCACGATGACCCAGAAGGGTGTGGTTCACTTATCACAACCCTGGTAGAAAGAGGAGGTCCCAGTTCCCACTCAACAAATCAATCCTCAGACCCTCGGGTTATTTTCTTTAGTCAACAATCGACCCCAAAATTTACCATCCTTCTTAACCCTGTACACCCTAACATCGGTATCTATGTTCCTCATGCCGTTTTCTCTGCACTTCCTTTGATGCTGACAAGGAGAACTCGTTTAAAATATCAAAGCTTATTTGGTTGGTGATCATTTCCTTTATTCTCGTGACCTTAGTGTGTGATTCAGGGGTGATAATATAAGGAGAGATTAGATGCTAATCACTCTCTTAATAATAGAGAAAAGGAGAAGCCTTTTAAGAAACATTCTTGATAATGGTCACGTGGTTTATTTGTCAGGTGACAAGCCTGTTTCTCCCGGAAGTGAACCAGGTGAACTCGGAGAACTGAGAGGAAGATTGCTCTTCTTGTTAGAGACTTCAAAACATTATCAAGCGCAGCATCTATTAACGCACTTCCCAGAGAGTGAGTCGTCTCATTTTTCTTACCATTGAGAATTTGGACCCTTTTTTCAAAGAGTTATTGTGCGTGAAATAATAATCTTACAAGCATAGCTCCAAACAAATAGTTCGCGCCAAAACTGGTGCAGAGTTTGCGTTCCCGCCAAACTGACGCAGCGTTTGCGTTCCCGTCAAAACTGAAACAGCGTTTGCGTTCCCGCCAAAAGTGACTCAACGTTTGTTTTCCCGCCAAAACTGACGCAGTGGTCAAGTAAAAGGCGCGATGTTTGTGTGTTGCTTTTCGATTTTCTGCCAAAAGTGTCCCCAAATGTTCTAAAGACGCAATTTTTTTCGTGTTCCCTTCTTTCTCGCAGGTTTTTATCACGAACGAGCTCTTTTGCTTGGACGAGTAGGAAGGCATGAGGAAGCTCTGGCTATATACATCCACATTTTACATGACATCAAACTTGCTGAAGAGTAAGTCCCCTGTTGCCAGTGCCTTTTAATTAAGTTTCGTCACACCAGAGGTAAAGTAATCACAACGGCTTAAAAAATAGTGTCGACAGTAATCCGTGACTGCTTTGGATTCGTTTTACTTTGATGGATGATAGCTTCAAAACTCGCAGCACTCTCTCAAATTAGTTTTGTAACTAAAACTAATCGCGATTCGTACACTTGCGTTGTCTCGGGCTGGCAGTTGACTTGTTTATTAGCTGTCGTGATTACTTTGCCTTTAGTTTTTACGATATTCAAGCGAGGCTTTCAGTTTAACGATGTTCAAGCGAAATGTGGTCTAATTTTTACTACCTGAAGCGCGGGAATACGTGACTGACCAAGTCGCACTTTGTGTAAGTTTTGCATCTGATTGGCGAAGAAAGTGGCATGATTTTTCTGGACCAATCACAGACCATAGAGATGCAAAACAATGCAGTTCAGGATTACTTGGGACACTCATACTGTAATTATAAAAAATGGCCGGGTAAGCATAATTTATGGGCCTCACAAGCTCAATAAATTGTAATATAAAGGCTTCCGTCTGTTCCGCTTGAAATCGCCACAAGAATTATGCAAATTAACCTCGCGTGAATTTCGCACTATTTAACGCATGTCAGGACACTTTTAATACAGCGTTGTGATCTTTTTTCCCTTTAGGTATTGTCACCGAAATTATAACGAAGGCCGGGAGGGCAGTAAAGATGTAGGTGTATTGACTTGATTTTGATAACTTGACTTTGTACTGGTCAGCCATTGCAACTCTGATCCCCGCATTACTGTTTTTTTTTTTCCCGATGAAATACACGTATTTGTTTCGTAAAAAGACTAGAAGTTAGATTAGGTTTTCTGAGTTTAGGTTGTCTAAACAACGACTATCTGTGATTGGTAGGTGTACGTGTCCTTATTGCGCATATACCTGGCGCCTCCTGAGATAAGCGGCAAGGAAAATATGAAACCGAACATTGATGAGGCGCTAAAAGTACTTCAGGAACATCACTTAAAGATAAGTACTGCTAAGGTGCGTATAACTGTCGTGTCGCACGTGTTTTAACCATTGTGCAGCACATGCGTGCAGCCATTGTGTCGCATGTGCATGCAACCATCGTTTTGCTCGTACGTGTAACCTTGTGTCGCAGGAGCGTGTAACCATTGTTTCGCACGTGTGTATGACCATTTTGTCGCACATTATGTGTAACAATTGTGTCGTACGGTTTATGTGTGAGTCACTGACTCTGCAGTTTTGATTGCTTTGTGCTACTCAGATCTTACATGCACAGCGCAATTTATAACAAAAAAGTGAGCATTACTGGCTGAGACCAATACTCCAACGTACCTGAAAGGCAGAGGTGTATTTCACATACGTAGAAATGCCCTCCCATTTTGAAGGATTTCTTCCGATTTGATACGAATCCGTTTCACATCGGACGTTTTTTTTTTGGACGTATAAATTCGGACGGCCCCTTCTTTCGGGCACCCGCGACTATTTCAGGACGATCTTGTCCGTTTTGGGATGGCTCGGTCTAATGTCAGACGGTTCCGTTTACTGATCGCTGGTGTTTTGAATCTTCAGGCTCTTGAACTACTTCCTCCATCTATTCAAGTGAGGGAGGTTTACGCGTTTTTGCTCAATGTTCTGGAAGACAAAGAAAGGAAACGGAAGAATTCTCAAGTGTTAAAGAGCCTTCTGTTTGCCGAGCATCTACAGGTAGGCTGAGGAACACTACCTCTTCTTTGTTAAGGGGTCAGAGTTTACAATCTAACTGCACGATCTTTCCCGACAGGTTCAAGAACAACGTATGCATTATCAGGGGGGTAAAATACTCCTGACCGATGAAAGAGCTTGTCGTGTGTGTCACAAGAAGATCGGAACAAGGTGGGAAACATTTACAGTCCTATTTTGTCTTTTTCTTTACATCGCTCACGGTTAACGCTGCTTCTCATTTGTTTCTTTTTTTCCAGTGCCTTTGCATATTACCCCACGGGCGAAATACTCCACTACTACTGCTGCAAGAACCTTACCTCCCCCCCAAACAGTGAGTACACGACCCCCCGGGGTAGCCCAACCCCCGAAGATAATATGTTACAAAGATACTGATCAAATGCGATGCAGTTCGTCATCACGTGCGCATCATGCATAAAACACGTGACAAGTTAGGAAGTGCAGATGTACGCTGAGGTGTTATACCACGTGTATTTCACGTGATGCGTAATAAATCAACATGTATTTCGTAATCAAACATTCAAAATCTTCACAGAATATTTATCCAAGGAAAAAAAATTGGAATTTCACAATTGAATCGATAATCAAGCAATGTTGCCGTAGCTTTGCTCTGTATTGTAACCTGATTGGCTAATCATTTAGTCAATCAGCTACAAAACCAAAACCAATCACGTGTTGGTCACGTGCGTTTGTCCGCACTTGACCTCTAGATTAGTACTTAGATCACTTGATGCCGTTAAAGAGAGTTAAAATAATTTACTCAGAGATAATGATCTAATGTTTAAGTCACTACCAGAAATGAAAATGTACCCAAAAGTTACAATTAGAATTCATGTCACGTCAAAGAAAAACAGCTTGGTTGTCACGCAATATCCTTTGTTAGATGTTTCGTTACCAATCATTTGAGCTGTGGCGTCACAGAGTATGTTTAGTAACAGATATTTTTTAAAAATAGAAATATTTACCGTATGAATGTTGAATAAAAGGAGATTGAGGGTGTTTCACATGTGTTGCACGACTATCCTCTCGTAAAATGTAATTAAATATTCTATTGAAATTGGCATTTTCAAGGTAGTTAGATTCGCAAATAACCTGAACGGAGGGAGTACCTTCAAAATGGCCGTATTTAGCGAGTCAAAGATGAACACTGGGAGAAAAATTCTTATTTCTGAAACTTGTCACAACGCTCGCATTCCAAGTTCATTTGTGGACCCTCACTCAGTTAACCATCACTTTCCTCAAAGTCGATCCCGAATGTACGCGTGCTCGTGGCAGAGGTATCAGTTAATGTCTTAGCCCACCATCGATTTCTCCCCAGCCTTGTGAGACAACATCGGACCGCATTCGAATGCATGGGGTTCGATTTATTATGGGGGACTCAGATATTTTCTTTGGCCTACGCCCTAATCGTGAGTTTTGTTTTCAGGCAGTAAACAGGCAAGTGAATGTAGTTTACATGAACAATAAGGTTTATTTATGGACTGGTCAATAACAAGCCATATTACCTGGCATTAAATAACGACAGAAAATTTATGAGATATGCTTTTTTTTTTCTTCGCAAGCTGAAGTGATAAATGCAATGGTATGACAGCAATTCCGAAAGAAGTAGCGAAACCCCTCCAGAAAAGTGGCAGAACCTTGCTTAACTTTTTAAATTTTTTCACTGTTCTACTATCCTTACGCTTAAATTTAATTTCGTTTGCAGCACTCTTTACTAAGCAGTAGTCTATATCAATGCAATTCTTAGCTGATGACATTGTCAATACTGTAAATGGCTAACCAAAAACAAAGCAAACAATATTTGAAAAAAAAATTTTGTCACGAAAAAACTCAAAACCTTCTTCGATTAAATCAGTCCCACAATTATAGCCCGCCTAGAAAACAATTGCACCCTAAGCAAAGGAACTAAATTGCCCGGGGGCTCCTGATGATGATCAATATGGTACTGGGTACCTTCCCCAATATGGTGGTGGTGGATAATAAGGCAGAGTACTCCAAGGCGAGACTGAGGAACACGCGTACTTTGACGGCAGCTCAGTTCTCAACACCAGAGGAGTGTCGGGATAGGTGGGAGGACGACAGTCGCAGTCAGGTGGGTAACTATGGAAACCGTGCTGCATGGAATATGCAAGGTTACTCAGGAATGATAGTTTGGTTCTGCGTTCGACGTCCTCAGCTCGTTTTCTCTTTTGTTTCATTCGTCTGTTTTGGAACCAGGTTTTTACCTGTATTTTGAGAGGAAAAACAATTTTGTTGTTTGAACGTCACAGAATAAGAGCGTGGAAATAATCAGACTCTGCTACCAACTTAGTGCAAGGTTTACCGACCAACCCTAATACGGAGTAAAGCAAAACTAAGCAATTCAGGATTACTTTGAAACTCATTTGAGAATTGGGCTAATCGTGATGAATTGGTGTTTTCTTGTGCGCGAGAATTTAACAGCACTTCATACTCGACCTTGGACAATTTGTATGGAAACTGTTGCGTCCAAGAAATGAAATAGATTTTCCACTACTTGCGCAAGGTGATCCCTTGATTGGTATTTTAAGCAGAGAATAAGACCCAATATCATACCTGTGTCTCAGTCATCTGAAGCTGCTCTGCAAGCCTTTGCCTGTCTCTGGAGCCCAGGTATTTCTGTCGTTCAAAAACTCGTTCTAATTGCAACACCTGCTCCACTGAGAATGAAGAGCGGGACTTGCTGGATTGCGCTGGGTATTTATCTTTGAATTCTTCAGCAGCATCTGAACAAATAAAAACAGCAAATTTTAAATCTCACAAGATAATTTGACTTTAGAGCGTTGGTCCTTCAACGATCACCGCAGTTTCTGTAGAAACTTACCCCCTGTAAACCTGCAAAATTGGTGTGTTCACGATTAGCTAAAATTACGCACACTTGCAAGAAGGAGCCAAACACGTTCGTGATTCAACTGACAATTGCAAATGACAAACTATAACAAATGTCACTAAAAATAAAACTTGAATTATAGCAAGTCTTTAATCCATTGAAATATCTCGCAAAAAAATACATTTGGCCTCAAATGTTCGTTCCTAACAAGTTTGCATTTGAAGACTTCCAGCTTATAATTGTATTCTCTCTCAGAAAGGAAAACTATCAAAAAAGTTTCATTTCATTGATAAGTAAGTGGAATTGTTGATCACTTAGAAAAAACACCTTGATCAAGCGCAAAGAGTCATGCTTGAGTTTATCTTCTTTTGAATACACAAGTTTTGTTCATGCGAATTTGAAACGAAACAATTGTACGGCAATTTTTCCTCTTCTTTTAGATCCCAAATCCTCTTAGATGAAACTATTTCAAATCGTTCAGAGTTCCTGTGACGGACACTCATGATTGTTTCAGTATTTTAGGGTGTAGGAAATCAAGAAAGAAAAGTTTAACCAGGAAAACGCACCTTTCTTGTCGTTGTAACACATTTCAACTTGAGAATTTTCGTCAACATTCTGCTGAGGTGAATCACTCGCGTCCAAATATGGTTTACCTAACACTTTTGCTTTGTTCCCAGACACGTTAACAGACAGTAAAGAATCTTTGATTTCTTCAGGATTCTCCTTCCAAAGAGAGCCATCTTGTTTGTCTTTCATACTGCTTAACATTGACGTTCACCTCGCCAATATGAGTTGCTCGATCGAAAGCTAATTTGCTTTTAGCTTGTTGCTTTCGAAGCAGACTGTTTTAAATTTGCCGCCCACTTCGCTGTTTGCTTTGATAAACCCGCCAACACGCTGTAAAGTTTTTCTCAAAGACACCGATTGAAGTGTGAATAATCGGTATTTGCAAAGGACGATTCAGTTTGTTTGTTGTTTATCTCGTGATGGTCGGTTGTTTACGATCAGAGTTCATAGATACCGCTTAAAACATCACAGATCGGAAACATTCCATCGGAGCTTTTTATCGGCAACTTTAGAGAAATTGTTTCGAAAGAGAAAAAAGTGAAAAATCACAGTGAATTCAATAAAAATCATGTAATGTTTGAATTTACTAAATCAACAGCGAGAAACTCGATGTTTAGTCTGGGCTTTGAAGATTGATAAGGCATGACAGAAAAGTGGAAATAATTTTCCTTTACCATAAATATCCGTAAAATGTGCTGCCATGCGCTACCCGTTGCTGTCCAACAGGTGTGTTTTTCTCCGCAGAAATGAAGAGACAATGGCCGTTTTACTTTAGAAATTGGAGCAGGTTTTACTTCCGCACGGAAAAATATGGCCTGATAAAAATATCAGCCTTGGTAAACTCATGCTGTTATTAGAGTCATACAGTAATTTGCAGATGTAATGTAAAAGGCAAACGAGGTCCGAGGAACGAGGTGAATCTTGCCAGCTTTACATGCGTATAATTATTAATGGTAATAGGACCGAGTGGAGTCCAATTCGGTTCGTAATTATACAAGTGCAGGAGTCCGATTTTGGTTAATCACGAGTATGATTTCAGACAGAATTGGACAACACGAAGTCCCGTAACCAATTAATCAAAACTATGACAAAATTTGAGAGAGAAACTAGAAATCGGTTAACAAAAACAACAACAATAGTTAACTCAGTGAAATGCGAGACAACAGCGCGCGCAAACGACGCGTTCTATCCACTAACACTGGCATGACGTTTTGACTGTCCCTTTGTCTATTTTCCGCGGGCATGAGCTCGCAGAAAATGGATTGCAAGAATTACTATTTAATTTGACTATAAAGGGGGTAACATTTACAATAGTAATCAGAAGACATATGTCAACACCTTGAGTCCTTCACTGTAGAAAAACTCCCTATAAATTTATGTGAAGAAAATAAATTTCCAAAGAGAGAAATTGCGCACAAAGATCTATATAATTGATTGGATTTTTATCATCAGGTAGGCTGATGCATCTCGTGCGCCCCTTTTAACGGAGCTTGACAGACGAGGCTTGTTAGGTAATTGTGTCTATCTATCTATTATAACGCGTACGAAAATTCAAAATGATTCGTTTTGAATATTTAGTTTTAGTTACTGTACATTTCTGAAGTAAGTAATTCAGTTGAGAATGTGTCTAATCAAATGCGCGCATACTTCTCTCGGGCGAAAGCAGGGCCAAAGCAAAGCAAAGGTCTGAATTAGAGTTTCAATCAGCAGCTGCAACAGTCCCTCCCACATTTTCCCAGGAGCACCCCAGGGGAGTGGGGACGGAGTGATCAACTCACAGAAGTGTTATACGTAAGCAGGAGCCCATGGGCTCCTGACGTAAGGTGGAGGCTTACCGACATCTGGTAACAAGGCTGTGATATAAGAAAAGCTTTCATATCAATGTTGATTGGCTTTAATTTTTTAATCAAGAATAAACCCAAGATTAAAAAGCATAAAGCAAGCACAATTGTCGGGAAATTCATAAAAAAAAAGCTATTTTAGTTTCGATCAAAGAATGTTGATTTAGATTTAAAAGCGCCATTTTCAGGAAATGCAAAAAAGAGCGGTTACTGAAATATTCCGGCTTTTATGTTGCCGGATTAATCAAATCGATAATGCCACTTGTGAATTTAAACATTTTAGGCAACCTTCGCCCTTTTTGAAATGGTGTACGTGTTTTTTGTTTTGTTTTGTTTTTTAACAATGGAAGCCTCCGGCGAATTCGCGAACCAATGCTAGTTATATATGTAGTATGTCTCTAGATGTTTAATCTTTTGGCAGGTATATATTTGAGATCTTTGTTCGAAAATCTATAAAATTTTATTACTCATTTTTTTTTATTTAGACATCGTGAGAAAATAGCCGACTATGTGGCATAGCCTTGTATTGTGAATAAATTTAGGTTAATTTAAAACAATTCAACAATCTTCAAACACTGGAGTTTGAATTGCTAGTAAAAATTTGGATAGTATCCGATAGTGACAGCTTTTTTTTTCGCCGCGGGCGAACAGAACGTATTGAAAGAAGCTGTTAATTTAAATGATAATGTCACATCAACTTGCAGGTGAGTGGGTCATCCTTGAAACATTGCATCAATTTGCCAGGATCTTCGTTCCAGCCAAGCCTGATGAACACAAAATTACACTCTTCGTTTTAAGCAGTTGGACAATCTGCTTTCCGCGCACTGGCTTTCCTTACAGGTAACTGCTTTAATAATTTGTTGCCTTTGTGAATGACCGGCTTTTCTAAAGGTTGAAGTGACTGTTTTCATTGAAGTAACGATCATTCCTTTTGTAGCCAAGCTGATATGTCTATGAAACCTTCAGGAGAGTTGTTATAGACACCTTTTGAACGCGTTCTTGTCGGCTGAACTCGCGGTGTTTTCAAGGATTGCTCGTAGAAGTTTTTTTTTTGCGCTTGATATTTGCAAAAATTGACTCTTAAAAGGCTTTTACCTTATCGGTATTACTCTACTGATCCTATCTCACCTCTAGTTTTTCTTAAACAAATTTTTAAGCACTGAAATTCGTGTTGTGCGAGTGTTCTTTTCCTCGCCAATCTTATACATGTGCAGGGACAATTGACTACTGCAAGACCGCCATGATATAGAAACCACAATTTAAAGTCATGGTTAATTTGTTACGTAACTAAACTTGGAGCATTGGAGCTAGATCAGTTTTGTTTTATCGTTATCCAGTTAGTCTTGCGTTTACAAAAGAAGAAATACAGCTTTTTGTCGGTTCTGTAATTTTGCATGTGAAATCGATTTTTGTTAAGAGCGAGAAGTAGTTTTTTCAAATTTCGACATTGCAAAAGCACTTCTTATTCCCAGCATCTAACAATAATACTTTAATCGTGAAAGAACATAATATCGATCGATATTCAAATTATAAAAAAAATTTTGATGTAAAACGACTTTTTAAAAAAACATGGCCCACTGAATGCCGCGACTTAAGTTACAGACTGTTAAAAAATTCTCTAACTGTTCAGAACATTTTCATAAACACAACTAATTCAAGACAACAAGACAGCGAAAAATTTGGATTTCATTACTAAGTTCAAAGACACGTTGCGCATATAAATTGCAAATTAAACTGGGAATTGCAATACTATATACCACACCCTAGGAGTCATTCTCAGCAATGAAATAATGTTTCAGGAACATCCTGGAGTTAAGAACAATACTTTTTTTGGATTTGAAAAAACATCGCGTGGATTCTGTTGTACTCTTTTTCACCTTTCGATGTGAAAAAGAGACTTGAGATGTTTAATAAGTCATAATGTTTTCATTTTGGAGATAAAAGTTTCATTATAAATTTAGTTTAATTGAACACCTGCAAACCTTGAGTGAAAAGTATTTCGCAAGGCAATTTGACAAAGGCCCTCTAATTTAACCCTTTAGCTCCCGGGAGAGACCAAGAATGAATTTCTCCTCACATCACCCGTATATTTTTAAGCAGAAAGGTGATGAGAAGTGAAAATTGCCAATCGGATCAGCCAGAGGAAAATTCTGTGATTGACCACCAAGTTCTTAGATTTACAATTGTATATGACGAGTGACAAACAGAGTACAGAGCCCTTCTTAGATCTTGAGAGTAGACAGGTCAAAAGATCTCACCAATAAATTCAAGTCTTATCCAGAAATTGCACGTATGAATTTAACTCAAAAGAATAATGCGTTATACGATGGAAGATATCAATTTAATAAAAGAAGCAGTATTTTACAAGGAGAGAAGCGGGTGTTTAACTAGTCTCACGAGAGTATTGAAGGGCATGTTTTTCATTAAAGACAGCAACCTCGGAAACGAGATACAGGCCATACGAGATTATACAGACCGACTGTTCCTTGCTTCACAGACCTCTGTAAACATAAAACCCAGAGATAACTCAAGGTTGGCCACGCAATTTTAATTGCAAGGTCTTCATGGTAGATTGGCGCATGGCGATAGGAGGGGCGGAGGGTATCACGTTCAAATCAATCGGTGACTTGGAAAAATATATGTAAAACTCTTTCATGCGCGAGTTCATAAACTCTAATTATTCAAGAGTCAGCAGTTAGAGTAGCACATCAGAACCAGTCGGGGTAGTTGTGCGTACGCTGGATTGTATTGAAATACAATAATTTTAATATATATATGGTTAGGAAAAATGAAGATCGAGAGAGCCTCTGGATTCAAAGTAATATAACCCTTACTGTGTTTTAAGTAAGCACCACTATTGTTGAATTGAAATGTCAAGGTATGCAAATTTCCCCAAGCCAAAGTTGAAGCGCAGCACGCAGCGCGCACACAGCACAAACTCAACACGCACACAGCACGTGCAGTTCATGCCGAGAACAAAAGTCATCGGAAGGGTGAGATGAACATCAAGCAACAGAAAGAAAACTGCATATCTAACAGTATTTTGGTATTTCCCGGAATAACCCGCATAGCTGTTGCAACGCAAACATGAAAGAGAAAATTTTATGAACAGTATCAAAGAGGTAAGCCGGTGCGCCTGTCAACTGAAAAAATCAAGTTCCTTTCATGAACAATTTGACCCTTTAGGAACAGTCGTTATCTTTCGCTGGGGGGGGGGGGGGGCTCATTTCTTATAAGGCGGGAAAAGCAAAGCAGATGGAGAAGCGTAGCGCGCGCAGCCGACTGGTTAAACAGGTATTTTTTACATTACAAAATAACCAACTGTCCAAATAACCGTACAATATCGCA